AGGATGCTGTAAAAGGACCAAACTTCAGCCAGGAGAACAACTGAGATAATCCATCCACAATACGAGGTTAGTCATTCATATACTGCTGCATGGGCTGGGCTGTAGTTACATCCTAAGGTTTTAAAAACTGAGCTTAAATAAATGATTAGCGGTAATAAAAGCCGAGGGAGGTCAACAGTGATCACTGACTGTTTTAGGAGCTTTTTGAGATCAAATAGAAGAAAATACAAAACATTAAACATGTTAACAACACAAAAGCCATATTAAACGCAGACTACTTTAGGCCCGGAAGTAGGATTCGTGCGTCATCACTGAAGGCTGTTGGAGGGGGGCTTTACGGAGCTGCAGGTACTTGAAGGGTGATACAGTTTGAAGCTGGAGGATCTCTATATAAATATCCGATAGCAGCTAGGTCCCCTAACTTTCAGCAGCTGTTGAAAGGATAAAGTTGTGGTATATCAGTGGTTAGAAACACCATTATTACTTTAGGATTAGTTTAACACAAAGTCAGGGCTGACCCGGGACCATTGCTGTGAGTCACAGTGCGCAGCATGAAGGTCCTTTCACATCGGACGCAGCATGTGCTGCTAATGCTAACTGCTAACTAAAAGCCAAGGATCCAGGATTTGTTGCTGGCTGCTGGGCTCTGTGTGCAGCAGCTCTACATGGACTAGATGCACCTGTCGTTTCTATCACTGACTTTATCTCCTCTACAAGAGTTTCTGTTGTTTTCAAATGTTCTTCAAATGTTCAATAAAAACATGTATCGTTAATTCATAACCAGAAAGCTTTGTAACTATCCCCACTAGTGAAGACTGTGTCATTTTCACAACACTGAAGGAAAACGCTGGGCTCCATAAAGCACCCCTCCAATAGCCAAACTCTGATTGGATAGTTAAATTTGTGATTGACATGACATTGACCAATCAGCTGAAAGGAAGAAAAATAGGGTCAAAATTTGTACGTGTAACTTGAAACTTGAGTGAAGAGTTTCGCACGTATTTTTTGACTAAGTCCAAACACAAATTCTTTTTACACATACAAAACTGATTTACAAGTTCAAAATATTTATGACCACAATTTGAGCCCATGAAAGACAGCTGCTGGAAACATGATGTGAAACACGTTCGCTTGCGTAAAAGGTTCTGTTTGTGCTCTGAGGTCTCGCTGGAGAGGAGAACGTAGTCGGTTGCTCCGGGTGTTCCCTGCACGCACAATCTCACACACACAGACGATGTTACATTGAAGTAAGGCTGTTCGATATATCTCGGATGACGAAATAAAAACATTTATCGTTTCATATTGTGCTATCGTTTGTTCCATGGTGTCGCAAAATAAACTTTGCGGCAATATTTGTTCATGGTTTTGACGGTCACTGTACTGTAAATGTTTAAAATTCTGTCCCGTGTAGACGGGAAAGGCAGTGTTGGCTCTGATGCCGCGTCGAAGTGTTTTCTTTCTCTGCGTCCATCTTTGTTTTACCGACTTTCTCCCAGGTGCTGACACGCTAGCGACAAATGGCGCCATCTGCTGGCCTGAAAAAGCAACTGCTTTTATTACTCTTGTTTATAATAAAATCTCGATATTGCCAGACTAAATATCACAACATTACGCTGTATGGAGTTTTATTAATCACCCCTGTGTGTCTGGAGGAAATGTCTGGGCACCATGTGTAAAAAGTTGTTCAGCTTCTGGCTCCTGATTGGCCAGCCTCTGACTGCAATAGCCAATAGGAGCTCACCTTTGTTTGTTTACTTCAGACATGATTCGGCGCCGTAGCCTGAGAACAAGAGCCATCAAGATGCTGGTCCTGGACGAGGCAGACGAGATGCTCAACAAAGGTGAGCGCGTGTCACCTGGAGCAGGAACACACCTGAGAACTCTGTGATGTCACACCTTAACCACCAGACTGAAACACCTGTCCGGCGTCTAACTTCCTGTCGGCTTTCTGTGTCCAGGTTTCAAGGAGCAGATCTACGACGTGTACCGCTACCTGCCCCCCGCCACGCAGGTGGTCCTGATCAGTGCCACGCTGCCGCACGAGATCCTGGAGATGACCAACAAGTTCATGACCGACCCGATCCGCATCCTCGTCAAACGGTCAGTTTGACGAGGATGCGGATCGGGTTTCTGGCAGAAATGTGGAGCTGAGATTATTCAGAGTGAAACCTGATCCCACCTTACTCTCACCCTCTCTCTCTGTATGTTGATGTCTCTCGGCTGCAGTGATGAGTTGACCTTGGAGGGGATAAAGCAGTTCTTTGTTGCCGTGGAGAGGGAGGAGTGGAAGTTCGACACACTGTGCGACCTTTATGACACGCTGACCATCACGCAGGCCGTCATCTTCTGCAACACCAAGAGGAAGGTCTGTGCACGTCCTCCTGTGTGAGCAGGTGTAGCGCATCAGAGCATCATGGGAAACGTAGTGTGTTTGTGTTTCAGGTGGACTGGCTGACAGAGAAGATGAGGGAGGCCAACTTCACGGTGTCATCGATGCACGGAGACATGCCGCAGAAGGAGAGAGAGTCCATCATGAAGGAGTTCAGATCAGGAGCCAGGTGAGCGGACCAGGACCAGGACCAGGACCAGATTCTGATTCAGAGACTGACCTCTGGGTTTTTGTGTTTCAGTCGTGTGCTGATCTCCACCGATGTCTGGGCTCGAGGCCTGGATGTTCCTCAGGTTTCGCTCATCATCAACTATGACCTGCCCAACAACAGAGAGCTCTACATCCACAGGTATCCCTCCACACAAACTAGTCCCCACGTGTCCTTCCGCACCAGTCAGGGAGGAGACTTGAGCAGTGTGCTTTGGGGGAGGGGCTTAGACAGGTTTGGGTCCGGTGGTCCTTTGAGGAGAGCAGGGGGTGTTTATTCGTGACTAATGCTATGACCTCTGACCTCCTTCAGGATTGGCCGGTCGGGGCGTTATGGGCGTAAGGGTGTGGCCATCAACTTTGTGAAAAATGACGACATCCGCATCCTGCGAGACATCGAGCAGTATTACTCCACCCAGATCGACGAGATGCCCATGAACGGTACGAGGGAGCCAATCAGGGGCCTGCTGATGTCACTGTTCGCATGTTGTTGTTGTCGGTCTGATTCTGTTCACTGATTGGTTCACTGTTTTTCTCTCTGCAGTTGCTGATTTGATCTAACCTGGATGACATCACACCAGAGCCCCGCCCCTTCAATTCATTTTTTTCTTCCCGTTTGTTTTTTAATAGTTTTAGATTTATTTTTTTTTTAATGTTGAGGTTAAATGACTGTAAGACGGCAGGTTTGTTTTTGTAAATAAAGTTTTGGTTCCAGATGTTAAGGTGGCGTGTCGTTACTATGAGCTCATCTGCAGCGACCAGTCAAAACTCCAAAAAGTAGTCACAGCCGTGAGGAGCAAGACTCTGTCAGGCTGGCTCCGCCCCTCGAGGTAACCTCAGGTTTGTCTTTGGAGGTGAACCAGACGAGCGCTCCTTCAGCAGAGAGTGTTACAGCCACAGTGCGGAGCAACGCCCACTTGATGCTGCTGAACACACCTGTGTTATTACCACTCCCACCACAGCCTGTGTACATGTGAGGAAACCTGAGTGTATTTGCTGTGTGCAGCAACCACAAATAAATACTGCAGTATTTGGGTGTTCTCTTTCTGACCTTGTGCTTTAGTAACATGTGTCTGATCACTTGTACAGTGGACAGGTGTTACCTGACTGTCACAACTGTCCCCAACCACGGCCACGGACCGGTATGTGAGTCGTTTGGCACTGGACGCAAGAGTTGAGGCCTGGGTGTGAAATTTAAATGGTAAATGGCCTGTATTTGTACAGCGCTTTTACTAGTCCTGCCTAGGGACCCCAAAGCACTTTACACACCCAGTCATCCACCCATTCACACACTGGTGGAGCCACAGCTGCCCTGAGGCAGACTGACAGAAGCGAGGCTGCCATATCGCGCCATCTGGCCAACACCAGTAGGTGGTAGGTGAAGTGTCTTGCCCAAGGACACAACGACCGAGACTGTCCGAGCCGGGGCTCGAACCAGCAACCTTACAATTCACAAGGTGAACTCCCAACTCTTGAGCCACGATCACCCTTCACAGCAGCAGGACAGAACACCTGATCAGGTGTATTCACATGAATCATTGATGACGATGCAGCTGCAGTAGCAAACGTACCGTTCACTGCGCTGCTCTCTGATTGGCTAATCAGGAGTTATCTTCTTCTTCTTTTTTTTTGTAAATATTAAACCTTATTAAGAAACAGTATACAGAACATGTATACAATCAGAACAAAATTAACATATGCCAGGGGGTGTAATACAAAGAATTACATACATTCAAATAATTTGTAATTACTACAAATAGTAATAGTTTTCATAGCCTTTTTGTTAAGTGATCCACTAATCAATTTTATGTAACATAAAACATCATTATAGTAATGTTTAAAATTAGGTTTTTTGTTACTGTATTTGCATTTGTGAAAATAAAATTTAGCTAAGATAACTAACAAGTTTATTATAAAGTAAACATCTTCTTTTTTTTGCCTTCGAAAGAAACAAAATACAACATTTTCCCGTTTCACAGTAAAGTCTTTATAGAGATGTCCAGCAATGAATCTACTGAAGTCTTTCCAAAATGTTCCAGCGTATGAACAGACCCAGAAGAGGTGCTGCAGTCTCAGGATGGCTTCCACAAAATCCACAGCTCACGCTTATGTCCCTTTTGAACTTCGTCATGTAATGATTAGCAGGATAAAATTTATGCAATATTTTAAATGAGACTTCCTTCACTTTATTCGTTAACAGATACTTGTTAGGAATTGTCCATACTTTTCCAGTTAATGTCACTGACAAAGGAATCCCAGTAAGAGACCACATGTGGGATAGTTAGAGATTCTGTCTGGAACAAAGCACGGATATTCTTATTACTTTTACTGTGGTTTGTTAGACAGATTCTTCCTATGTGTGAGTTCTCTTCTTCTTTTGTAGTGTGTAGTGTGACGGTGACGTATTTCCGGTGCCGTCGTCGTGAAGCAGCTAGGCTGCCGAAAGCGGAAAAGAAGAAACTGTTTGTTGTTCTGTTTCACAGACGCGTCGATATCTGTGGTCTCACCTGGCGGACAGGTGAGTGCAGAACCTGGTAATACGAACCGGATCGAGCTAAGCGCTCTGACCGGGAGCTGAATATCGCGCTTAGCTTTTGCTAATTGAACTAGCTGTGCTAAGAGTGGCTCCGCGCTAGCCTTAGCACGGACCGGCCATTGATCAGTGGTCATGAGAATTTGCATAATTAAGATTAAGGACCTCCCAGCCCATTGTTCCTCAGTGGGCTGGTTTCAGTCATTATGCAAATGTCCTGTTTATGAGATTGAAACCTGCAGTCAGCTGAGACTGAAGACGTCACCTGATGATGACAAAACGTTTCTCCCACTGAAAACATCCAGATGAACAGAATCATGCATCAAGACGATGCAACATGTGGTACCCGGAGTGTGGAATATGTAAACAACTCTAACCAGTTAACCTGGAGCTCCGCCTCCGCTGTAGCCTGGCTCCGCCTCAGGTCAGGCCACGATGATGTGAAGGATGGGTACTTCACCCGAAAGAGTTTAGGTTAAAGGTTATGGTTTAGGGTTAAAACAGGGTTCCTGTTATAGCATAATTGTGTTCTGAGTGCGTGCAGAACATGGTTATTACACGAGCCAATCATGGCTAGCTCTGATTGGCTGCAGTAGGCTTTTCTGGGTCACATGTTTCTGACAAATTCCTCATCTTTCTGCAGGAGTCGCATCCCACCTCCTCTCAGCAGATTTTCTGCAGGTCAAAGGTCATGGCACTGATCTCTTTGGAGGATCTCGATGGATTGGATGACGAGCAGCTGGACGATGACATCACAGACAACCCCGAGCCAATGGATGAAGATGAGTCGGAGCGCCTGATGAGTCACTGGCAGGCTGTCGCCAGCACACACCAGGTGTCAGTTCCTCAAGGTCAGGGGGTGGGGCCAGTTTCTGTGTGATGCAGGCACTGATTGATCAGGGGTTGATTGTTTATGTGCTTATTTCTGTACAAGGCCTCTGATTGATGCTCAGCATGGAGATGTTCAGGTGTTTTTTTTCACCTGTCATATTTCGCCCCAAAAAGGGGTGTAGCCACTCAGAATGAAAACTTACCTGTCTGAGTGGCTCCGCCCCACCGTAGTGCTCTGATCCATGTTGGAGGCTTCGTGGTAGCCACTGCCGCCTCTCCTCAGCTGGTTGCTGTCTCACTTCAGTTCAGTTTTATTTACACAGCACCAAATCACAACAACAGTCGCCTCAAGGAGCTTTATATTGTAAGGTCGACCCTACAATAATACATACAGATAAAACCCAACAATCATATGACCCCCTATGACCAAGCACTTTGGCGACAGTGGGAAGGAAAAACTCCCTTTTAACAGGAAGAAACCTCCGGCAGAACCAGGCTCAGGGAGGGGCGGGGCCATCTGCTGTGATTGGTTGGGGTGAGAGAAGGAAGACAGGATAAAGACATGCTGTGGAAGAGAGACAGAGGTTAATAACAGATATGATTCAATGCAGAGAGGTCTGTTAACACATAGTGAGTGAGGAAGGTGGTTAAATGATTACATCCTTAAAGTCCGTTACAGCACTTTCAGAAAAACATCTGCTGTGATGAAATCTTCACTGCTGTGTAATCAATTACTGCACAGAAAACAGAACTTTCTGTTCTGTTTTCCAGAAATGAGAGGACCCATACAGGAAATGACACGCAACAGCCAGCAGAGGGAGCCCCTCCCCTTCACACCCATCTCAAGCCACGAGAAGGTAAATGCCCTGACCCTAAAACCTAACCCCGCCCCCTCTCCGTGAGTGCTGATGTGTGGTACCACCCACAGATGGGGGAGGTGCAGTACGAGGAGCGGCTGTACCCGGCGGGTCACTGGGCGTCCGTGACACGAGGAGACGACCTGTACGAGCAGAGCATCTCCATGGCCTTCATGAAGCTGATGCGCTTCATCTGCAAGGAGAATTCTGCAGGTCAGGCTACGCCCACCACCCGCCAGCCACACCGCACGCTTGCTGGACCGTTCAGCTGCGATCGATGCCTGCAGGTCACGTGATTGTGTTGTTGCTCATGTACAGGTAGATACCTGGGGATGACCGTACCCATCATCAGTTACATCCGTATGGCGAAGGACGGCAAGACATTTGAGAAGGATGTGGAGACGGCGTTTTTCCTTCCCGCCGCGCTCCAGCACAGCCCGCCGCAATCCTGCGACCCTGACATCAGCATTGTCTACAGACAGCCAATCAGAGTGGTCACCAGGTGAGAAGATCATTGCCACATTGTGGTTTGTGATGTGGGCGGGGTCACAGAAGACCACCTGAACAGGAAATGTGACATCAGACAATAATAATAACAACAACAATAACAATTAAATGATTGAAGCTGCAGAGGTTAAAGTGCAGCAGCGAGCTCAGCACTGATTGGCTGTTGTGGTCATACTTCAACCATCAGCAGACATGAAGAGGTGACAGGAAGTGACCCGTCAGATGGGGTTTTCGAATGCTGAAGCCCTTTATCAATTCTCAAGTACGCAAGTCCAGACTTGCTGAGAATGCGAGCAGGACTCGACAAGCGTACTTGATGATGTCACCGGTCCGGCGTTTTTACTGCCGTCCCCTCTTAGTTTAACTGTGAGTAATATGTTATATAATAATAATGGATTGGATTTATATAGCGCTTTTCAAGGCACCCAAAGCGCTTTACAATACCACTATTCATTCACTCTCACATTCACACACTGGTGGAGGCAGCTACAGGTGTAGCCACAGCTGCCCTGGGGCAGACTGACAGAAGCCAGGCTGCCATATCGCGCCATCGGCCCCTCTGGCCAACACCAGTAGGCGGTAGGTGAAGTGTCTTGCCCAAGGACACAACGACCAGGACAGAGAGCCCAGGGATCGAACCGGCGACCTTCCGGTTACAGATGCGCTTCCCAACCCCCTGAGCCACGGTCGCAGTTATGCAGCTTAACTTTAATCTCAGCCAAACCGGTTTACTCAGGAACAAATAACAACAACAACAAATAAACAAATAAAACATAGCATGTTTAAGTGATCTAAGAGACTTATCTATCATGTTTAACCCGAGTAGTGAAAGACCATGGGGGGGGTTGAAAACGATGTGCAGGGAGTCCGCTGTTCTCGCCGGCTATAGTGATCCTCGACCTCCCGGTCTGCTACGGAGCTGGCGGGTCACAGACGTCTCTGAAAATGTCAGAGCGCGTTTGGACAAATGCATATATCTTGATAAATCGAGCAGATATTTGACGTTTACGCAGCTACATTCTAGTTTATTTTGTGACCCCGAAAGAGATGGTCTTTTTAGCCGCGTTTGAGTTTTGGACGAAATGCATTCTGGGATATTTTGCTGTACCAAATACACAGAAGTCACCACTGATGCACGCTCGATAAAACAGGCGGAGCGAGAACACATCCGAGAATTTTTCGCATCCTCGGCTTGATGCGTAGTTTGAATTGGAACGGTACCTGGTCTCCGACTGATGATGTATCACCGGTGCAACAACACACAAGTACGAATATTGAGACAGGCCCTGAGTCATCAGATGGTGGGCGTGCGTCGGGTTTCGCGTCAAATTAACAACTCTGCCTTCTGATTGGGTGCAGGCCGTTCTTCGGGACGACCACGGAGGAGACAGTAGGCCGCCAGATCCTGCTGCTGTGGGAGATTCTCGGCGCCACTGATGAGCTGCACAGCGATCGGTACGCCGTGGCCGTGTACGAGAACCCGGGTGTGCCGCGACGCCGGAACGAGCTCTGGTTCATCAGGCGTGATCTTTAGGCTCCTCCCATCATGCTCTATTTCAGCACGTCCACTCACAGCTTCCTGTCAAACTGACATCAGAGCAGTCATCTGTTATGAGGACACTAAGCCCCACCCTTTCTATTAGCTCACACTTCACAGGTCTGTTCTGATTGGCTGGAGCAAGGTGATGATGCCATAAGGGCTGATTGTGATTGGTTTGTTGGTTTACTTAGATCGTGTAACATTTATTTACAGACAAAAAGGAGGCTCTGCCCGCATCTTTTCAGTAATGCAATCATCATCGGTGATGTAATCGTGACCGCTGCCATGGCGTCCATTCGCATCGCTTTGAATTTCTGCAAAACAGGAAGTGACATGGTGTCGGTACCAGCACTTCCAGTTTAGTCTGATTGTAGCAACCAATCAACTGAAAAAGCCATCTGAAAAGGAACCCCTCCCCCCGGTGCTGTCTAAAGACTGAGGTATTGATCACATGATCAGCGGCAGCCTGAAACCTTAACACATGTGGTCGAGTGCGGCGAGCCCGAAGGTCTCATACATGTCATCGCCAGAGGGGGGAGGGGTCACGGGTCAGTATGTTTTTTATGCGCTGACATCACCAGTGCGTTCAGATGATTCCTCTAAATCATTCAAGCACATCACACGTCACACGACTCCTTCAGACATCCTGCCGTCTCGCATGTGGTTCCTCGCAGGACTGTGATGTCACTGTGATGTCAAAGGTTTTGAATGTTGTGTAGATTTTGTGTGTTGTTGTTTTTCCTGCTTTGTGTAAAAATCTTGAAATAAAATGTTTGATTTCAAAAACGTTTGACTTGTTCTCTGACTCGGCAGCTCTGATTGGTTCTCGCTGGCACCTCTGTGGAAGCCACTGCTTCTTACGCTTCGATGGTTTCAGTTTCCCATTGGCCTGCAGGTGGCGCTGTGTGGGTCCAACAGCGACGCTCACTTTGATACTGAAAAATGCTTCGAACGATGGCAACGCCGAGTGAAACGCTTTCCTGTGTTTGTTCTTTTGGATAAACTTTATTTCCACCAGCTTCTTTTACATAGTTTCTTTTTCTAGTTTCAATCCTGTGTCACTTTTAGTGTGTGGGAGGGGCTGAGAGGCGGAGTCTTGCTGCTGGCTTTGCCGATGTTTGGAGTCCAGGCGGAGCTCCTGAGCAGCAGATTAGATTTGTTTGGTCGTCTCTGTTGTCACTCGATAAGAAGTTGACAGAAGTCACGCACTGCGATTTTCAATGACATCAGTTTTTGAGGTCGTTTTTGAACGCACGCGACCCGTTCCTGTAAGTCTGCAGGTGCTCATACCTTTACTTTCACTGAGAAATTGGGGACTTATGAGGGGTCAGAGAACAACTGTGTGGAAAGTCGTTCCCAGAGTATGCAAGGCCACTTGAGTTTTGAGAAGGCAGTGAACTTCCCAGATGCTGCAACCCACCATGTGAATATGGGAAGGAGTCACAGGCTGCATGGACGGATATGTATTCCCATAAAACGTGCCTCCACCCAAGATGCTGAGGAATGACAACCACTGGTTTTCCATTAATGTCCAAGGTGTGTGCACTCCCCAGTTACAGTTTCCAATATTGTTGCATTTTGGCAAGGTGCCACTAAAGATCATTGGGTTTGACTGACCTCATCACTGCGCGCTCAGAGGAGATCACGATGGATTGTTGCTTGGTGACAGTGCGTCACCCACCTGAGCAAAGGTGCGCACCAGGGCTCTAGTGGAGTGTGTTTGATGGAGTCGTTTCCAGTCCCTAAGAATACGCTTTGATTCACGCCAAAAAGATGCTGCATCATCACATTACCACCGCCGTTCTTCATGACTCCCTGAAAGAACACGCATGCCCACACCCTCCAACACTGCACCTTCAGTTCCAACCAACCACAGACAAGGACCTGCTTACAGAGATGTAAGCCGCCGAAACGCCACGTTCTGCTTTAATACACATTTTCACACATCATGGTCAAATGACTGCATTCTGTATTTGTGTCCACTATATGAAAGAGTCACATGACAGGATGTAACACTTTTTAATTCATTGCAGAAATATTGAAATAAAAGGTGGAAGTGAGTGAGTCGGTGTCAGCAGCATAGATTTACATCACTGTGAACTCTTTAACCAGCTGCCGTTTATGCGACGATCACACGCGTGTGAACGTGAAGAACAGATTTTCTGCTTGTATCATAATTTCACACAGATGACACAGACGCAGGGATTGCTGACAGCAGCACACTTATATTCGCATTAAGTTGTTTAATGATGCGATTTAGCAGTTTCACAAACATCGTGGAACTCATAAACAGCGTTAGCTTTTTGCTAATGTTTGCGATGTTTGTAGCTGTGACATCGTCGCCTTTGTTCATGAGCTCGAGAAGCTGCAGCCGCCTGTCCGGCGCTCGAAGCTGCTCCTGTGCAGGCAGATCCTACCTGTGCTGTGTGTCTGTGTGAAACAGAGTGAAATTGATCTAAACGTGAACCCTTGATGTCTGCAGTCTAAGATGGAGGTCAAATGACCGCCGCCCCCCGCCCCCTCTGAGGCAGGCAAGGGTCAGAGGTCAGCAGAAGAAATGTGACGGAGACCTGAGCCCGGGACACTCAGAGGAAATGTCAGTGTCCATTTAAAACGCTGCCTCCACCTTTTTCACCGTTAGCAACGCGAGTCTTTAAATTTTCATCAGTGCCCCGCCCGCCCGAGCGGCGTGATCAATTATTCAGGCAGCGCTGAGGTCGACACTCTCACAGAGGAGACGCTGCAGAAAACTCCCTTAAACTCAAACCGGCTCCATCTTTACCTTCACCATCACAGCTCACCTCCGGGATCAAATGACCCACTGTGACCTCACTTCCTGAAACGCTTCAGCTTGCTCCTCGTCCTCGTCTTCATCCTGTGCCTAAAGCGTGTTCAGCCTCCACCTGCTCCTGTTCAAGCAGGTGATGGAGGTGTGTGTGGGGGGGGGTGTCACATGATTCCTTCAGTCGCTGAGCTGCACTTACGAGGTTTCATCAGCAGCTGCGGAGGCTGCTGATTGGTCGGCTGATGCTGAGTCAGCTGCTCCTCATCCTCACCGCAGCGCTGCTCAGAGATTTGGGATTACAGACCTGCACTTTTATTACATGTGGTTGAATTCCTGATGTCACTCCTTGTAAATAAAGTCTGGTCGGCCTCACCCCAGATTCCACGTTTCGGCTCTAACCCGTGGCGGGTTTAGAGCCGTGTTTTTATTGGCTGCTGCTTGTCGGAGTGCCTGACGCTCGCTGCGTGGAGGCGTTGCCGAGCGCCTCGGGTAGACAAACATGAAGCGACAGCTGCGGAGGAAGATCTACCTGAAGGTCACCTCAGACAGTTCGTGTGTCATCAGAGCTCATCTTCATCATCCTGTCGAAGAGTTCAGACACTCGACGTGTTTTCATCCCCTGGCGTCCAGAGTCTATGCCTCGCTCTGATTGGTCAGCTGTTTATAAGTCAAAGATTAAAACAAAGGTCATTTTTCAGTTCTAGGATCGTCAGCGTGACGCTACGCTTGCCATCTCTTTGCCGCGGACAACCTAAACCAGCAAAGTGCAGGTTTAGTTACCCACGATGCATCAGGAAAAGTGGTCGTCTTTGTCACCCTGAAAAGTGATGAAACACGCCGGTGACCTCTGGAACAACCTTTAGCTCTCCAATCATAGCAGCACCAAAGCGCTGACTGACAGCCTCGTGGTCACAGCGGCGCTGACACCTGAACATATGAACCGAAGAACTTCAGATTTGTGAAACGACCTCTTTCAGCGGGTGAAGACGTTAAAAACAGAAACATGAAGCCAAGCATCTCAAGGTGAAAGGGTTAAACGCCGCCGCGTTGAATCTTTCTGCTCCGTGATTTTCTCTGCGTTTCATCAGAGTTTCATCACATTAAAGGGACACGCACGCAGGCCCACTTCCTGCTGCTCACGCGACTGTGGCCTCAGCAGCTGAGGACAAGGCCCCGCCCCCTCCTTCCTGACCAGAGGCGTGCAGTCACCCTGCAGTTTAAAGCGGTTTACATCGTTATCTGCCTGTAGGGAGTCTGAACTCGGCTCCTTGCTCTATGTGGAGGTGGTGGGGAGGAGGCAGCATCATGGCAGGCAGCGGCACGGGGGTGGAGGTGCCTCAGGTCACCCCGAGGCCCGCCGCTGAGGTTTAATGAGGCCGACAGCCGAGCACCGGTTTCAGCCGGCCTCATTAAAGCGGGAGAACAAACCGATCTTAATGAGGAGAACATGAAGGCGCGTGGGTGTTGTCACGGCAACAGGGACAGCTGAGGATGGAGATGGAGTCTCGTTACTGAGCTGAGGTCAAAGACGCTGATGAGCTGTAACTAACAGGCTCCTCATGGTCACATGACCAACAAGCATCACCTGAGGAAGCGTGGGCCGGGCTCCGGTGCCCGCAGGCTGAGCGTGCGTCCCATCGACCCGCAGCAGCTGATCTGAGTGATATTTGAGCGATTAGCTCTTTGACACCAAACTGAGCTTCGCTCGTCTTCATCGAAACGGCGTCAGGAGCGGGGGCGTTCAGAGTATTCATCCATAAAGAAAATGGCAGCACGTCAGGTTGAGCCTGCGTCTGCAGCGGCGCGGTGTGAGCAGGTGTTCGTTCTGCAGAACAACAAAGTTTTAAATGAAGAGCAAAGTTTAGATTATGGAAACGAACATGAATTTACAAAAGTACTCGAGTACTCCCCCTTCCCCCGTTACAGAGGCATCATTTATATTTTGACATCATTTGGACATTTGTGTGTGTGTCTGTTGTGTGTGTGTGTGTGTCTGTGTGTGTGTCTGTTGTGTGTGTGTCTGTGTGTGTGTGTGTGTGTGTGTGTGTGTGTGTGTGTGTGTGTGTGTGTGTGTGTGTGTGTGTGTGTGTGTGTGTGTGTCTGTTGTGTGTGTGTGTCTGTTGTGTGTGTCTTCAGTCAGGGATCATGATTCTGGCTGGTCCAGCCCCTTCGGACCCTGCATCACCTGATAAGCTCAGATAAAAGAAGACGCACCTTCAAAGAGAGCGCACCTGCTCAGACTGGCTAATTACGGCACTTACTGAGCATGAGCAGACCGACCGACCGGCTCGGTCTGCAGGTCCGATACCAACACAAAGGCCCGGATTCGTCCGGCTGAACCCGCAGACTCTGAATTCAGTGAAATACAGTGGCTGCACTGATGTCACTGCTGGCCGTTCAGGTTCAGGCCCGACAGCATCGACAGCTGCTCAGCATGCAGACGGCGTACGGGTTTCTGTTTTTCTGTGCACGCTGAAACATGTTCATGATGGAGAACAAAGAGCGCTCCTGCCTCATTAAAGCCTCGCAGTCTTCCTCCAGCTGATCAGAATAAAGATGGAGACTTTATGTAACGTCTCATTAAAATGGACGCGCCGCTGTGAGTGGAGGACGCTCCTCTCTCTCCGAACGCATCCGAGGAACAACAACAGCTCAGCCAAGGCATCGCGGTGTCCCTGCACACTGCACACAAAAAACAAAGACTCACAGGAAGTCAAAAACCACAGTAACACAGAGTAAGGCACCGTGAAACAGCAAAGAGACAGAAAGCTAATATTCAAAAGCAAAAATGTCCTCACAGTGCTGTGACGACTCCACATACAGACAGAAAACCAACCAGCTGGACGGAGAGCAGGACTCAGTGACCGTGAGAAGGAAGAACTCCCTTTAAACAGGGAAACACTTCCAACAGAGCAGTATTAATGTCATTAGCAGCACTGAAGAGAAGACAGAGAGCATTGATGTAACAATTACAATGATGTTTTCAGCACAAAGCACCACACTGACTAATGACATCATCTGCTGGCCTGCCGATAGGCTGCTCACCTGTAGACTCCTCCTCACCATGTGACAGCTGGATGTGGGAAAAGTACAGCTATTCTGTACTGCAGTACAAGTACACTTACTAGTGTTGAAAATACTGCAGTAAAAGTTGAAGTACTGATTCAACTTCTTTACTGAAGTAAGAGGGAAAGGTACCGTCTCTGTGGACATGCACACCTGGATCCAGCCAGATGTGAGCAATGTTTCCTGAGCTGATTTCATCCTCCACACTGACAGCACTGAAGGTGAAGTTCAGTGAATGAGTCTCTGCTTGATGTAAGCTAACTGTGAGCATGAAACCACTGTGCAGCAGTCACACTATTCTTTACTTCAAACCCATCAGTGCAGCAAACTACGTTAGCTCTGTCTTTTCTCTCTCTGTGAAATACAGCAGCTGCACCTTTAGCAGCTACGCACTGTGAGACAACAGTTTGTGTGTTTGCTGATGTTTGAAATGACCTGATGCTCAAAGAGCGTTGCTGCCTTCATCTTCGCTCCTCTTCTGTAGTGCTAGCTAGATGAAGAGACCACATCTTATGAACATCTGCACTCTCTCCGGTGTTGAGCCAGAATAAAAAAATGCTGGTGGCAGCCAGTGCACCCCCACCTCCACCCCCCAGTAGACACGCCTGTGGTATCAATGTGAAGCTCCTGCATCACCTCGTTCTCAAGTGATCGCATTCACAAACTCAGTGTCCACTGTGCCCGCCCACCCAGCATCACCATGACAACGATTGCCGTCATGAATTATGATTTTACTGAATTTACTTTTACCTTTAGCCAGCAGTTTTAAATTTCCCTCAGTGTCGCCTGCTCTCCAGTAATGACACCCGTTTATGCCAATCAGAGGTCACTAAAATCAATATCGAATCGGTGTGCAACTTTGCCAAAACAATGTGGGACTCTGTAGTTTTCTCTGGTCCCTCCCCAATCACACCAGGAGTGACATTTTTAGCCGAATAATGATAATAATTGGAGGCAGCTACAGGTGTAGCCACAGCTGCTGTTGGAGTGAAATTGTTAAATGTTGTCATTGTGTTACTTAAATTTGTAAACTGTGCCTTAAACTGCACAGTTAGACGTTCTTCTGTTCCTCCCCTACACATCTATGATGCTGGGAGAAGTGATAAGCTGTAGCTGTTTAACTGCAGGCATGTTCCATGTGTGGCGTCTTTATCTTCTGAGGAATGGTCACTCCTGGCCATTTGGGGGCTCGCCTATGCTTGCATATGGTGAACCATTAAAGTTGAGCCATATACTGGAGGAGGGGAGATGACCCTTCTGTGATCAGCAGGAAGTCACACACACATACACATTATCGCACAGGCATACACGTGCTTATACGTGCACGCACATACACACATAGTGCCTTGTCTTTTGTAACCATAGGTTTTTTTTTACAATGGTGGTTGCTTGTGTGTACTGTAACTGTTTTCAATAAAAGGCGGCAAGCGGAGGCCTAAGTCGGGGTCCACTGTTGGATTCAGACGGCTTTCTGAGACACTGACCGGGGCGATAGATCGATCGCTGATTGTCTTGTTTCCTTGCTCGTCATTAACGAGAATACGTTTCTAAACCAGCGGGGCCTGTGGAAGCACAGACCCAACAGCTGCCCTGGGGCAGACTGACAGAAGCGAGGCTGCTATATCGCGCCATCGGCCCCTCTGGCCATCACCAGTAGGCGGTAGGTGAAGTGTCTTGCCCAAGGACACAACGACCAGGACAGACAGACTTCTTAAACTGCTGGCTGTCTGAGTGGTGCCCCAGAAACGATGTGGGCTTCATAGATAATTGGCAAACCTTCTGGAGGAAACCTGGTCTTGTTAGGAGAGACGGCATCCATCCCACTTTGGATGGAGCAGCTCTCATTTCTAGAAATATGGACAAATTTATTAAACCCCCCAAAATATGAGTATCCAGAGTTGGGACCAGGAAGCAGAGTTGCAGTCTTACACGCCTCTCTGCAGCTTCTCTCCTCCTGCTACCCCCCAAAAACCCATCTCCATAGAGACTGTGTCAGCTTCCAAACAGACAAAAAACAAACTAAAAACCAGCAACAAACAACTTAAACATAAACACAAAGAAGGAACAATACAGTATCCACATCTGAACCAAAGAGTAACACAATGAAATGTGGATTATTAAATATTAGGTTTATAACACAAAATGTAAATATTATTACAACAACCGGTCGCAGCAGATGGCCCCGCCCCTCCCTGAGCCTGGTTCTGCTTGAGGTTTCCTCCTGTTAAAAAGGAGTTTTTCCTTCCCACTGTCGCCAAAGTGGTGCTCATAGGGGGGTTTAGGTCTACCTTGAGGCAAGTGTTGTGATTTGGTGCTGTATAAATAAAATTAAAATTGAATTCCCCTCAAACATGTTAAACCAAAAGTAATGAGCTGGTTTTGAAAACGTCAGGAGGAGGAAGTTCAGATATTTGTTTACAAACATAAGGAGTGAAAGTCAGAGATGCTGTCAGAAAAACAAAAAACTACTCAAGTGCAGATGTCTGAAAATTCTACTTAAGTACAGTAACAAAGTATTTGTACCTGGTTACTTCCCACCTCTGATGACAGCGCGAGCAGGGTGCTGTCCCTACCCCACAACCATGAACTGGATGTATGGATTAACTACTGAAACACTGACTTTGAATGAAGATGATCAATACAGACTTTTATTGTGACAGAAAAGCAGGAAGTCAGACTCTCCTCTCTGCTCGTGGTTTTGTCAGTTTGCAGGGTGGAAGGTGACAGTGAACTGCAGGATCTGAGCACCTGACGGAGGACGGGCTGATACCGATCGATCACACCCCCTCCCCGTGACCTCCATCTTGCCGCAGCTTCAGCACTTCCCCTCAGCGATGACATTCACACCTCAGAGAGTGAATCACCGCCACCGCTGCTCCACCTGAGTGTTAATTAAACTTCTGCTCACAATAATCCTCCCACGTGACGTCCCCCAGCAAACCCTCCACTCTTACACTCTCCCCTGAAGGTGAGGCAGGCAGCGCTCGTCCGGTCAGTCAATACGAGCTGATGGAGCTTCAAGACGTCTCGATCAATAACTTCTGATGGCGGGGAGCAGGCCAGTGGAGGTGGGGGGAAAGACTGATGCTAACAATGCTAATGAGCCACACACTCACACAGAGTGCTGGGTGGAGCTGGGGATCGTGGGAAATGGCAGGTATTGATCAGTGAGTGTTCTCGCTCTGTCAGAGAGCTGTTGCCCAGGAGCCTCTGAGCAGCTACACATCTGCAGGATTTGAACCAGCAGCCTTCCCCTCGTGTCCTCGCCACATGTGACTTGAAGAACACTGAACATGCCCATCGCTGTACCCACGACACACCTGCTGTTTCCAGCCTCTGCAGTCAGAACAACACGTTGCTACACGTTGTGCTACTTTGTGTTCTTTAATATTGATACTTTGTTGCTGTTCCAACAGGAACTGTAATGACATCATTTCCTCCGGGCTTGATAAAGGTTTCTGATTCTGATTAAGGTTAGGGCACGACCCCTCTCGTCCAAATACGGCGAGAGTATTTGGACGAGAGTGATGTCATGGCGACAGCGTTCATCTCTTACATACAGTCAGTGACAGCCAATCACTAATGTCACAGCAAGGTGGGGGGGCTCCAGTGGGAGGCAGGAGAGGCGGGGTCGTGTTACAGGAAACAGCAGAGCCCAGCAGGGACGCTGATGAATTATTGATCACCTTAATGGACAAGTTTTCATTTTTTCTGCATCACGTCACGTTTTGACTCTGTGAGGACGAGAGCTGCAGTCACCTGAGATTTCCCATGAGGTCTCAGTCACCAGGTCGCCAAGGAGACACGCCAGCTCTCCTCCCGGCCCACTGATAATGACGAGTCAGGACATTCAAAGTTACCTTTGCTCGGAGTCTGACAGGCCGGGCCTTAAAGATCAATCACATTTATAATCAATACGTCAGAGCAGACTTTCACACCATGAAGCCACGCCCATCAGCAGACACCATCACACACTGCAGCCAAGGAGAGCTCAAAGTGTATTCTAATCACAGGTGGAATAATAATCAATGAATGAAGCTGGCAGCAGGCGTGATGGTGGAAAACCACGAGGAGCTCTCAAATCTCACAAGAAAGCCAGAGGAGAACCCTGAAGGAGTTCTCCTCTACAAGGAGCTGGGAGAAAATCTTCCCAATCAAAGGCAAGCGAAGGAACGTCACTACTGGCTAAAATCTTCTGGTTCCTCGTGGTGTAAACTGGAACTATCATCATGTAAGGGGACTTCTATACCAGCTTTGCTCTATTCCTCTTTACCCATAAAACCCTGTCTGTAAAAGTCTTGATGCATGCTCAATATCCAGGTAAGTAAATCTCCAAAAGTTGATTCTGTTCATCTGGACGTAGCATTTTGTGGGAGAAACGTTTCATCATCATCCAGGTGACGTCTTCAGTCTCAGCTGTCTGCAGGTTTCAATCTTCTAAACAGGACATTTGCACAAAGACTGAAACCAGCCCACTGAACATCCTCATCTTTCAATGATGAGGATGTTCACATCCTGGACAGGGAGGAGCACTGGTTTGAGGGCGGAGTCAAGAAGGCCATTTACGTGAAAAGGGAAAGACCATCTCTGAATCGAGGAGGGGCCTAAGGGTCCGTCTGTCACCATCTTACAATGATGTGATTGCAGCCATTCCCCAACTCTCTGTGAGTGGGACTCATGGCCATTGATCAATGGTCATGAGAATTTGCATAATTAAGATTAAGGACCTCCCAGCCCATTGTTCCTTTGGTGGGCTGGTTTCAGTCATTATGCAAATGTCCTGTTGATAAGATTGAAACCTGCAGTCAGCTGAGACTGAAGACGTCACCTGATGATGACGAAACGTTTCTCCCACTGAAAGCATCCAGATGAACAGAACAAACCTTTGGACACCTCTCTGTATGCTGATAATCTTCTTTGTTTTAGAGTGTGTTTTTGTTTTGTTGTTTTTCTCATATATAAGTATATTTACTTAGGAAAATGAAGAAAGGTTAATTGTTGTTTTCTTTTTTTAATAAAAATATTTGCAAGAAAAAAAAAAGAGGACAAAGCTGCTGGAGTTTGTTTGCATCTCTCTCTCCACCCTGATCGTGCTGGGCATGTCTTCCTGTTTAGAGGTCGTTCTTCCTCCCCACTGTCACCGAGCACCGTTCACAGAAGGTATCTCTGGTACATGTGACCTCTGGTCCTTTCAGAGCGGTCTGACGCTGTGGGCGGACTCTGAACGCAGCATGGAGCCCAGCAACAGAGTTGAGGTCAGTGAACGCCTCAGGAGAAACATCCTGATCAATACCTCTGATCAGTCCGCACCCAGCTCAGCAGTCAGGCCCCTGCCGTGACGTCACACGATGCTTCCTGTCTGATTTCAATGTAAAACTCTGTACTGCGCTTCGGATCGTTTTCACTCAGTCCTAAAACATAAACCTGCTGATGCTGTTTCTATGGCAACGTTTCCGCGGCAAAGAGCGGTGTACCTGAAAGCCGCAGAAACGAGCCGATCAGGGAGGAGCTTCATGTGTTCATCGTGCGTTCATGTGCGCTGAGCTGCAGGACAACAAAACCCGCAACTCTAAGCGTTTCCGGCTTGTACTTTCAAAATAAGGTTTTGGTGACAGTTTGACGTGAGTGATTGGCGTAAAGTGCAGGAGCAAATACAAGAATCGGCTGTTTTCATTCTGTTAAAACGAACAAAATGAACTTTTGAAGGCAGAACGTTAAGCTCCTAAACCTCTGCGCGCTGCACGCTGAAGCAGCATCACGGACAGATGAATCTCACTTTGAATATTTCTGCATGTTGCAGCAGCTGACCGTCTCAGACAAAGCTTTCCGCTGTTTAACATTTTAGCCTGGTTGTTGTTGTTATTATTTTCAACATTTTCATCGTCATTATTATTATTGTCCTCCTCCTGCGGAGACAAACGTTTTATTCTGAAGGCGCTCTCCGGGGACTTCCGGTTCTGAGGGGGTTACCTGCCTCCACCTTGACGCATCTCTGACGGTCAGTCGGCATGACAACGCGCTCTCGAGGGCAAACGGGGAACGGCTGATCTGGAGGATGGCAGCAGAAGATGCCCAGTAACGGGAACAGCGGCGGGAATCGAGCGGAGAGGAGCTCCGGGACCAGCCCGGTCCATGTCCCGGCCATGGAGCGAGCCCGACCGGCTACGGTGACGGTGTCCGCGGTGAGCCTCGCGCTCAGCGTGCTGTCGCTGCTGCTGCTCGTCACCGCCATCTCCACCGACCACTGGTACGAGACGGACACGCGCAGGCACAAGGAGAACTGCGACCGGCACGGCTCCGACTCCAACGACCAGAAGAACCGCGAGATGCCCATCTACCACCTGCCGCTGGTGGACAGCGGGCCCCGGCACCGGGATGTGGCGCTCATGAAGCCCGTGCATGTGGGCAGCAGGGAGGAGGAGCTGCTGGAGAACTGGCGGGCCATCCTGGGGATGGGCATCCTGGAGACGGAGTGCGGCAGGCCGCTGTTCTCCACCCACTCCGGCCTGTGGAGGAAGTGCTACTTCAAGGGGCTGGACCCGGACATCGACAAGCTCATCGACCGGGGTCAGAAACACACACACACACACACTGCAGAATAACGGTGCAGGTTAACACACGCTAACTCATCGACTGGGTTCAGACTGCAGAAACACACACATGTTCAGTGTGTGTGTTTATATACACGGCAGCGTGTGTGTGCAGGTTAATGAGTGACAGGAGCACATTGTTAGTGATTTCATGGAGCTGAACAGAAATACACACTCACTCACACACACACACACACACACACACTGTATCTCAACGCAGACTCGCAGGTTCGTTGAAGTCTTTTAATCCTCATGGTTTCACGCACACGCATGATCAATAATGACGTCATACATAAACATGGTTCTATCAGTTACCGATGGATGATTGAAGAAACGTAACCGTCCTGCTCACACACAAACACACACACACACACACACACACGGATGATCCGGTGTTGTTTAACACTGGATGACATCACAGCAGGTAGTGGCATAAATCACATGGTCACCATTAGTGTGAGGCCACGCCCTCTTGAACCCCGCAGTAACTGTGAGGTTCAGAGAGAGGTGCATCGTGGGACTTGTAGGGCTGCGTTTTTGTGCTGACCCAAGAGCAGCTTGGACGCCGCCGGCCCGGTTTCTGCAGAGTGTGTGTCTGCAGTCTGGCTGGCTGCCGAGCTGAGAGCTGGAGGTCACAGCGATGGCGAGCGGCGAGGAGCTGGACCGCACATCAGATCAGAGCACTCCAAATTGCATCAGCCGACATTATGTTACATATCATTACACTGCATTAGGCTGGAGCTCAGATCCAATTAGATCGATTGATACCTGCGAGGAGGGCCAGCAAAAAGCAGCAGTACTTCCTGTTTATATGGAGTCGGCATCCGTTTGCTCTAACCAATTCAATTCAGCTTTATTTATAAAGCACCAAATCACAACTGTCACCTCAAAGCACTGCAGTCATGTCTGGATCGAGTTCATCTCGGCTCAGAGCTGGCACACATCACAGGGTCCACACGGATCTTAGTCCTGGGCCAGGCTAGTCCTTATCCTAGTGAGTTCTGGTTAGTCCCCGTTAGTCCTTATCGTGGTCAGTTTGGTTAGTTCTGGTCCTCGGCTGTCCTGCTCCTGGTTAGTGTTAGTCCTAGTTAGTCCTGGTTGGCCCAGTTGGAGGATGTTGTGCGTGTTGTGTAGTTGTGGATGTACACACACAGATCATGTGACGCCATGCTGATGATGTCTGGCATGTATAGAAGTCCCGCCCTCATGTAACCTGAGAGGATGTTTAATGTGGGTTTGCTACGTTTTGTCAGCTTGGGTCTGGAAACAGCAGGTGTGGTGATGCTATCAGCTCAGGTACATCAGTACGTGAATCTTAAAGGTGTCTCACCTGTGTGACTTTGCAGGCATTGCAGATCGCTGCACCGCCGTCAAGTATCACTTTTCTCAGCCAATCAGACTGAGGAACATCCCCCTGAACCTGACCAGGACCATCCAGCAGGACGAGTGGCACCTGCTGCGTGAGTACACACACACACACACACACACACACACACACACACACACACACACACACACACACTAACACACCAACACCAGTAATCACTAACAATGATTAACTGATCACATCAGAGTCTTAGTCGCGTCTCCACACGGAGCGTCTGTGTGACAAGCTTCAGTCTGTGTGTGTGTCTGTATGTGTGTGAGTGAGGTGTGTGTGTGTGTGTGTGTGTGTGGGTGTGTCTGTGTGTGTGTGTCGGTGTGTGTGTGCTGTGTGTGTGTGTGTGTTGTGTGTGTGTGTGTGTGTGTGTGTGTGTGTGCTGTGTGTGTGTGTGTCTGTGTGTGTGTGTGTGTGTGTGTTTTTGTGTCTGTGTGTGTTCCCTCAGTGTGGCGTTCAGGGTCAGTCGGTGTTTCTCAGACTGTGGGTGTTTTCACACCTGTGCAGGTGACCCTAAGAGCAGTCAGCTGTGTGCGTTTCAGTCTCACAGAAGAAGAAGAAGAAGTGATCCTCCGCTTCCTGCCGGGCCCATGCTTGCGACCTTGGACGCTGCGTTACACGACCGCTCAGCGAGGTCGCTATGATTGGACGCTCGGCTCTCTTTACACCAACGCTCTGTGTGCTTAGAGTTGCCTCAGCACCAATCACATCACAGGATTTTACCTCTGTGACATCACCGAGCGCGTCAGCGCCCTGTTCACTGCTCACGTCCCTGATTATAGATTATAGATCACTCTCCATCTTTGAACTCTTCCTGTAATTGGCTTGTGTTCTCGCCGCCAACCTCACTGCCAGTCACTGTTGCCACGGAAACACACCATCAGTTTTATGTAACAGTACCAAGGAGTGGTTACCACGGCAATGTTTTGTGTTCCTTCATTTCCTGCACTGATCACTGTGTGCGTGCGTGCGTGTGTGTGCGTCCACAGACCTGCGGCGCATCACGGCAGGCTTCCTGGGCATGGCGGCGGCCGTCCTGCTGTGCGGGAGCATTGTGGCGTCGGTGGGCTTCTTCTGGGAGGAGAGCCTGACGCAGCACGTCTCTGGGCTGCTCTTCCTCATGGCAGGTAACTCACCTGCTCTGTGCAGCAGCCCAGTGTCTCCCCCTGCTGGTCGCAGCTGAGGTTCACAGCGAGTACTGTCTTCATCTGACCATAGAAAGCGTCTTCAGGCAGCTGTGGTGATTTGGCACTTTATAAATAGAATTGCGCCGACAAAAAAAATCACCAGAGAGATTTGAGGGGGCTCGGCTATCAGAGCATCAACGTGAAATCATTTAGAAAGATTCAAGTAAAGGGTGATGTGTTTGTTTCCATGGCAGTGTACAGCGCCACACTGTAACGTTTCAGTGTGGTGTGCATACTCCTGCCATATAAACTTCTAAACCTACGAGTGCAGACTGGTAAACCTTATTAACCTGCCTGCCCTTAGTAATGACTCACATTTGCTTAGTGACGAAACCCAAGGATGTTTACAAAGACTGTAAATAAACAAAAGAAGGCTAGAGGTGGACGGTTTTGTTGAGGTGAGTTTTGACAAGGTTACTGATGGACTCCAGTGATGGAGTAAAGCTCAGGGTGCAGCAAGTCAGACTCGGGCATTTATAAGTGAGAATGAGGATCATCAGGAATCCGTGGAGATGAGGGTGGGGGTGACGTGTCCCCAGAGCTCAGTGCATACTGGAGCCTCTCCAAACCCAAACAGGACCCACTGCAGTAATCCAGCCATGTGGTGAGCTGTGTTGGCCAAGTTACTTTGAAAAAATAATTAATTATAGTTACTAGTTACCAGAGATGGGCAGTAACGCATTACTGTAATCTGATTACTTTTTTCAAGTAACGAGTAAAGTAAGGGATTACTATTGCAAAAACGGTAATTAGATTACC